AAAGAAAAAGCTACTACAGGCAAAACTCTTGTGCCTGACTAAGGGTAAATAAGCAGGAGACATGATAATAATGACAAATGTTGAGTCAGACCCCACTGTAAGGCTGTGTGCCTGGTACAGAGGCAAGTGCTCAATAAATGCTGCGTTAATGAAAGCATTTATTTTATTTTATTTCATTTTTTTGCAGTTTTTTGGCTGGGGCTAGGTTTGAACCCACCACCTCTGGCATATGGGGTGGGCACCCTACTCCTTTGAGCCACAGGCGCTGCCCCAGTGAAAGCATTTATTAATGGCTATGTGCTTATTATATCTCATTTAATCATCACATCAATCTCTGAATAGATTTTTTTTTTTTTTGAGACAGAGCCTCAATCTATTGCCCTGGGTAGACGCAGTGGCGTCACAGCTCATGGCAACCTCCAACTCCTGGCCTTAAGTGATTCTTTTGCCTCAGCCTCCTGAGTAGCTGGGACTACAGGTGCCTGCCACAATGCCTGGCTATTTTTTAGCTGTAGTTGTCATTGTTTGGCAGGCCCAGGCTGGATTTGAACCCTCCAGCTCTGGTCTATGTGGCAGGTGTCTCAGCCGCTTGAGCTGCAGGCGCTACCTCTGAATAGAATTTTGGCATTCCTTTGCACGAGGAACAGAGAGGTTGAGTAACTTGTCCAAGATCACAAAAGTACAGAATGGTAGAGCTGAACCTTGGACTGTTTGACTCTTGCCCCAAACTTTTGCCACTGTGGGTAACTATAATTGAACCATTGAACTTTTTTATTTCTTTGGCTTGGAATCCTTCGGATTTGCCCTTTGAAAAATAGTCTTGTTCTGGTTTGGTGCCTGTGGCTCAAGTGGCTAAGGTGTCAGCCACATACACCTAAGGTGGCGGGTTCGAATCCAGCCTGGGCCCGCCAAACAACAATGATGCAACTAACAAAAAATAGCCGGGTGTTGTGGCGGGCACCTGTGGTCCCAGCTACTTGGGAGGCTGAGGCAGGAGACTCGCTTGAGCCCAGGAGTTGGAGGTTGCTGTGAGCTGTGATGCCACAGCACTCTACCCAGGGGGATAGCTTGAGGCTCTGTCTCAAAAAAAAAGAAAAAGAAAAATAGTCTTGTTTTTCTGAATCCTCTGAAATAATACTAGATCAGGTTTTGAAGAGTTAAGTGGTTGGTTTTCCCTGGGTTTTCTTAAGCCGTGGGGTGGAGGGAGAACAGCAAGCATTTTCAAGCCTTCAGCACCCACCTGTTCTGAGACCTACAGTCTCTGTCACTGCAGAGTCTATGTCTTCTGGTTACAGCCAGACTTGCAGCCACTCACTCTTCAGCCCGATCTGGCCAGACCCTCATACAGTTTGCTCTCTGAGAAGTTGGCATGAACCACTCCTTCCCCCCTCCAAGGAAGCCCCAGGGCCCCCTGCCCCTGCCCTGGTCACTAGTCCAGGTCTTACTTGTAGGAGAGTGTGTAGCCCACATGGCTGTGACTGACTCTGATGAGAAAGGATCCCAGTGGCTGTGACTCCAGCAAGTTCTCAGCATCCCTGGAAGGGCACACATGGGAAGTAGATGGACACAGTCCAGCCATCCTAGATATAGGCCAACTGGCCAGACTCCTAGTGCCACGCAACCATGGAGGCCAGTCCTTTTTTAGTTTTCTAAGTGAATAAACAGCCTAAAACCATTTTTTTCCTCAGTTGGGATATTCAGGGACTAGGGGTGTTCACAGAGATGGTAGGTAGCCTCTGATGACCTTGACACCAGCCCAGACCTCCTTTTATCTCTGTCAGTCTCTGCCTGCCTTCCTAATGCCTGCAATTCCCCTGTTAAGGCATTTTTGGATGTCTCAAAGTATCACAAGTAACAAAACTCACACTCATTTGATTTCAAAGCCCAGCTCTGCTGTTGTTCAGCTGTGTGACCTCACGGGATCACCTATGCCTTTCTTTTATTATTATTATTATTATTATTAAATCATAACAGTGTACATTTATACTATCATGGGGTACAATGTACTCTTTTTGTATACAATTTGAAGTACTTTCATCCAACTGGTTAACATAGCCTTCATGTCTTTTTCTTAGTTATTGTGTTAAGACATTTATATTCCACATTTAGAGAGATTCACATGTACCCTTATAGGATGAAGCCTATGCCTTTCTGACCTTCAGCTTCCTCCAGGGGAAAGGAAACACTTACTCCCAGGACTGATGTGAGAACAGATAAAACACGTGCAATTTTGTGAACATGGGACTTGCTACTTGGTAAGTGCTCCCCAAGTATTTGCTATTATTATTGCTATTATTTACTGTGCTATTACTACTGCTATCTGGGGTTCACAGACAATGAGGCAGCCTTCTGTGGGGTAAAGTGGGGAGCCTTTGGACCTGCACTGTTCAATACAGAGGCCACTGGCCACATGTGACCACTGAGCACTTGAAATGTGGCTCATCCAAATTGAGATGTGCTCTTACTTATCTTATCTTGCAATACACACTGGACTTTGAAGACAATACTCTTTTTTTATTTTTAGAGACCGAGTCTCACTTTATCACTCTCGGTAGAGTCCTGTGGCATCACAGCTCACAGCAACCTCCAACTGTTGGGCTTAGGTGATTCTCTTGCCTCAGCCTCCCATGTAGCTGGGACTACAGGCGCCCGCCACAACGCCCGGCTATTTTTTGTTGTTGTTGATGCAGTTTGGCCAGGGCAGGTTCAAACCCGCCACCCTCGGTATATGGAGCTGGCGCCCTATCCACTGCTGCCCCCGACAATACTCTTTTTTTTAAAAATAGGGTCACCCCTATTTTGCTTAGGCAAGAGGGTGGTGGTGTGATCATGGCTCATGTTAGCCTTGAACTTGGGCTTGAGCAATCCTCCCTCCTCAACCTCCCAAGTAGTAGGGACTATAGGCAGGCACCACCACATCCAGCCAACTTTAAAAACATCCTTGTGTAGAGATGGGGTCTTGATATGTGGCCCAGGCTGGTCTCAGATTCCTGGCCTCAAGCAATACCCCCTCGTTGGCCTCCCAAAGTACTAGGATTATAGGTTTGAGCTGCCGCTCTTGGCCCTTATGGATCATTTTTTTAGTGTAAAGTACACGTTGAAGTGATTATCTTGTATAGACTGGGATAAATAAAATATATGATTAAAATTAATTTCACCTGTTACTTTTGACTTTATCTTTTTTGAGACAGGGCTTTGCTATGTTTCCCAGACTGACCTTAGACACCTAGGTTCTAATGATCCTCCTGTCTCAGCTTCCTAAATAACTGAGACTTTAGTTGTGTGCTACTGTGCCCAGGTATTTCTCTTAATATAGCTAACTAAAAATTGTTAAATTGAATGTGCAGCTCATGTTATATTTTTCTTGGACAGCATGGCCCCAGAGATCAGTAAGCATGCCAAATGCTTCCTCTCTGTGGCCTTCACAGAATTCTCTCCATTTCCTGTATGCAGAAGGCCTGGAGGTAACCAACTAGCTGGACTTATTTGTTCATGTCCTCAGAGTTCACAGTCTGAGGTAGAAAGAGACACATTGGTTATATACTGATGGATAGAGAACAGATGCTTATAGCACTGTGTTAAGAAGGATTCTGAGGCTACGTCCTGCCATCACTAGTTGGTGATACCTGGCCAGGGCAAGTTGGGGGGTGCTGCCAGGTTCTTGGCAGTGTTAACCTGGTGGCTACTTGTACAGAGAAAGCTGAGGCTCAGAGAAGGGAAGTGCTTGCCCAAGTTCACATACTGAGTCGGTAGAGGAGGCAGGATTCAAGCCCAGACCTCTTTTCTTCACCCCCTTATTCAGCTGAGGTGAGCCCAGAGTTCTTTTTTTTTTTTTTTTTTTGAGACAGAGCCTCTAGCT